AGCCATGAAGAAACAGTAATTGACCTCAGATAGGGTACCAATGGAAGGCCAAGTACAGATACCACCAAAGTCCACCTTGGTGAAGCAATGAGCTTTACTGGGGTTACTTACAGTACTATAGACAAGGGGTTAGTTACAGGACTAGAAATGACTCAAACATAGCAATATCATCAAAAGCCCATACCACCATGGGTGACAGTTCACTAAAGCTAGATACCTGGACTGTACTCCACAGCATGTAGGCAGTTCAACAGGTTGGAGGATGTTTATCACTCACTTGTTCTGAGCCTCTGCTAGGCAGCTTGGCTAGTCTCTGTTTCTTCAAAGCACTCTAGCAGACCTGTGCTTCTTCCAAGACGCTTGGCTAATTTCTGCCTCTTTCAGATGACTGGTCGGGTCAAAGCCTTTCTAAACAACTAAGCTTTTCTGAGAGATTTTGTTGGAGCTTGTCCTGTGAGTCTTTCCTCAGTTGGTCTGAGAGTGACTGAGAGGTCTTTACTGCTTATATATATTGTTGGAGAAGGAGTAGCTGGTGAATCTTGTCAGTTTCAGGGACTTCCTGAAGATATTTTGGGTTCCTATCTTAAGGCCCTTAGCTGTCTCTGGGCAAGATGGAATATTTCACTTCCCCTCCGAATACCCAGTTGTTTGACTTTCCTGTAAACATCCTGTCTTAAAATATCCTGGTTTTTTGATTGTTTGTTTTTTGCCTTCTTTTTTATATCCTATGTTTTAAATTTTCTACTAAGATGACAGGTGTGAATATCAGAAAAAAACTGCCACATAGTCCTGGAATTGCAGGGCATGGCCAACATGCCCAGTTTGTCTTCTCTTAAACAGAACCTGAGCAGGCTATTCTCCTTTCCTTGTTCTTGGCATCTGCAGCCTGAGACAGATGGGGATTTTGCAGTCAATAAGGTAAAAAACAAGGGAAGCAGAAGCTGAAAGGGGTACCCTCGGGTTCTGTTTGTACAGAAATGTAGAATAAATGCATGATTGTTCTCATCCTTCTAATGCGTTTTTGCAATACGACTTGGTTTCCTCTGTCATCAACAGTTACCAATCTGTCGGGTTGTTTTGGAAACATTATGAATGGCTGTTGATGACCTGAAGCGATTGCAATGATCTGATGTTCAGATTGACTCATGATCAACGGGAGCCTAACTGGGTCATTTCTGGAGTCTTTCTTGAGATGTTAGTATTGGTTAACTGTTTCCTTCCTTCCCCTAAGTGTTTGTGAATAAAATGATGTGCTGTCTGAGATTTGTTTTGTGATGAGGGACACTGGGGAAGGGGGCAAGTATAAAACACAACTGACCAGGAGTCAGTATTGTTGCAAGGTAATGATGGCCCCCAAAAGCTTTCTGTATTCTTCTTACATCTGTGTATGTTTATTTCCCAGAACAAAAAGTAAAGGTTTGTGTTCTTTCTTAAGCTCAACCCATGACATTCAAAATAAAAATGAAAATCTCTCAGTAAGGCAGTAGTCTTGAATGTCTGATGAAAATGAAGGACTCTAGGTTCCAGAGGCTTCTTTTGACTTGGCAAGACCATGTCAGAGGCCTGAGTAAACCTATGCTAGGCTGCAGAGCCAAAAAGATGGAGCGCAAGAAGGGGCCCAAATACACAGAAAACTTCTAATGTTTCCCAGGCTGGAGCCTCCTCATCTATCAAGTTTGAAATATATACATATAAAAAATTTTATATATACATATATAAAATTTCCCTCAACAAATAGTTTGTTCTACCTTCTACTCACTGGTCCATACTCTTGGCTTGATCCCAAGGGAGCTAGACTCAGTTTCTCCCAGTTAAGGACATCTTTGGAAATAAGACAAGGAAGAAGCACTGGGTTGGAAATCCAGAGGCAAAAACATGAGTCCTGTCAGGGACACCAAAGTGACCCAGTGTCTTGGGTAGTATTATCATACTTATAGTAAAGAGTTACCCTGCCAGACTAAAAACCCCTCAGTGTCTCATTTCTGCAAACCAAAGGCTTCAATTCCCGCTGGGACCAAAAACCTTACCCCATGGCCTGTACCTTTCTAAAGACCATCTTTCCCACCTTTGCACGTTACAGAGAGACTGCTATCCCTGCTGATAATTGGAAAGGAGGTGGCTACTATAGGTGACCTCAAACTTGATAGCACTTTCGGGCTTCAGGAAGCTGGTGCGGCACGGACCTGTAAGATTTCTCCTTTGTGCCCTTGCCTGCTTGCACACCCTGACCCGGTCCCCACTGCGGAGAAATCTGGCAGGCGGCGGCGGCGGGCGTGGCCCGCGCAGGAGGCGCGCAAGGCGGGAGGGCGCAGAGCTGCGGCTACTCCCGCGCCGCCGAGAGGGAGGGGCCCAGCGCGGTCCGCCAGCCTGGCTCGCCACCGCTCGCCCGCTGCTCAGTGTCCTCGCGAGCCAGCTTTGGCCGAGGAAGGCGACGTCCGGCGCGATCCCGAGCCCTGGCCACAGGAGGCGGAGGCGCGGCCCCGAGTCTTGCTCAACGGTGCTGGTAAGTGCGGGTCTCCGGGTCTCCAGGTCTTCAGTTCTGCGGCCGCCGAGCCGCTGGTCCCCGGGTGGGTCGCGCGCATCAAGCAGCTGCGCCGTAGGCTCACAGGTGGCCCCGTGGTGAATGTGGCGCCCCAGGCCCAGCTCTGAGTTAGCCAACTCTCTCCGCTCGGGGGCGCGGGTTGCTAGCCCCGGCATGGCCCACCTAGGCTCTGAGAGTGAGGACACCGGCAAGAACCTGACTTAGAAGGGGATGCGCAAAGGCGCGCTCCTTCTTCAGACACACAAGCTATCCGGGGAGAAGAGGAGCAAGCACCACCCCAAAGGCGTCGCAGCTCCAGGCTGGCAGACGGGTGGCTACCCTTCCGTTTTATTTTCTTATTGACCCTTCATGGGAAAAGTTTAAGATCATGCAAAGCAAAGTTGGGGCGCAGCTGGGGACACATCCCAGAGAACAGAACAGTGGGTTTTCATAGCTAACCCTAGAGCTGATCTTGCACCTTGGAAGTCCAACCCAGGCTAGCCTTCACCCAACACTGTGACAATCCCTAGAGCGGCCGTGAGTCGCTTAATCACGGGTGCTAAGCTTAGACATCTGCAGGCAGCCAGGCATTCCATGGGCTAGGTTTATCCGAGGAGCAGCTGCAGCTCAGCCTGTGTTGACTGGTAGTCTTGCTCTGCTCCAGCTAATCCCAGTGTATAAGCGGCGTGGGTTTAATTAGCTTATTTTACACCTGAAATGATCTCGGCGAATGCTTCTAAAATGAAATCTTTGGCACAGAAAAAGAAAATAAAAACAAGAAATATAAAGGCTTGTTTAGAAAGGGAATCTTGACGGTAGCAGCAGTCTGTGGGGTACTTTACCCACCTCTTCCATGGAATAGCGAATCAAAACTCTGTTTTGCATATCTGACATTAAAGGATAGGTGTTGGGGCTACTGGGGGGAGGATTTTATGAACAGACGTGTTGCTGCAACTTGCATGTTGTTTATGAAATACACACTTGGTGTCTCTAAATAGCCTTCTGGTCATGTCACTGTGTTAAGCCTTATTTGAGCTCTTGAAAATAAGACTAAAGGATTTGGTTGTTGTTTTTGAAGCTCCTGCTGAAAACAGTTTAGATGCTTTAAGAAAACAGCAGCTTGCTTTGTCGCCAGGACATTTTGTTTTGTAAACTTAAATACTTAGAGAGCAGGTTTTCTGTATCTAATATGAGACACTTTCATAAAAATAATATTCTGTAATTATATGAACAGGAAAACAGTATTACCTCCTCCCAAATTCACCCCTTTTCAAAGGATAGATTCAATCAGAAAATGCACTGAATTACATAATTGTTCTAGAGGAAAACATAATGGATAACGGTCAGTTGTCAAGAACTTAGTTCCAAAAGAAGTGGGACCATTTTAGCACAGGAAGATGTTGCATGACTTCAAGTGGATGAATTGACTTTTGTTTATAAATTTTTCATACTTACACACATCTCGGATGTCTGGACCTAACATCAGATTTGTTGAAATATTAACTTGGTTTATACATATGTAATTATGAGTCCATTCTAGATACCACTTATCTAGATACCACTTATTCCAAGTGCTCCTTATGTTTTAACTCATCTTAAAGCAATTTATGAGGTTGTAGTCCAGTGACAGAGTGAGTTATTGTCTGGAGTGTTGAGGCTCTGAGTGGGAGCCTCAGAGCACACTCATACACACACACACACACACACACACACACACACACAAAGCAATTCTGGTTGGCAAGGACTTTAATTGCCTATGACTCTTTTAATCAGTCAATCAATCAATCAATCAATATCTCTGTATTTGTCTCTGTCTCTGTCTCTGTCTCTGTGTGTGTGTGTGTGTGTGTGTGTGTGTATGTGTGTGTGTGTGTGTGTGTGTGTGTGTATCTAGGGAACAGACCCAGGGTTCCAGGTTCCAAGCATGCTAAGTAAGCACTTCCATCTAGTCCTGTTGACCAATTTTAACATAAGGAAGTTTTAACATAAGGAAGCCCAGGGCTGGAGCAATGGTTTAGAAGCTAGGAGCACTTGCAAATACACACATGTGATTTGTAAGAGCACTCTGCGCTTGCAAAGAACCAGAGTCTGGTCCCCCAACAACCATGTTGGATAGATCTCAACTGCCTATACCTCTTGCTCCAGGTGATCCTAAGGCCTTTTCTGGACCCCAAGGGCACCTGCACTCACTTGTGCACATACTCACACAGAGACACACATAATTAAAACTAAGAGAAAAACTTAAATTAATAAATTAAGGAAACCCGGCACATAGAATTTAAGTAACTTACGCATGAACACAGACTATAGGACAAGAATTCATCGTATCTGCAAAGTTATCTTTATAGAAAGGTAAGATTTTATGATTTACTTATCACTGTTGTTTTTACTTAAGCTTAGGTGGTGAAATTTTCCCGTGAAGAGTAAAGATCCCCGATTGTAGAAGTGTCCCGTGAGCACCGTCAACTGGAAAGCAAGGAGCAGTATGACAGAACCATCTGTCTGAGTCTGAAGTGTGAAGACCACCATATCCACCAGAAAACCCAGGATGGATCTCCACCAAAGCACCACAGTCAGGCTCCTGCAGAAATGGTGTTCCCACGAGTCACCATTTGGCTGCAGGAGACATTATAATACCAGGAGAAAACTAAAGCTAATTCGAGTCATCGGCCTCGTCATGGGCCTGGTAGCTGTGAGCACTGTCCCATTTTCAATCAGTGCCTTTACTAAGACAGACTCTCAGAGCAACAGAGGAGAAGCCAGTGGTGTGAGTGGTCCTAGGGTAGCAGAGGGCCACCGTCAAAGAACTCTCTTAGACTTAAATGACAAGATTCGAGATTACACCCCACAGCCACCTGCTTCTCAGGAAGACCAAGCTGAGAACAATACTGATCACACCCAGGGAGACTACCCAAAGGACATCTTTTCCCTGGAGGAGCGAAGGAAAGGTGCCATCATTCTCCACGTCATCGGAATGATCTATATGTTCATAGCGTTAGCCATCGTCTGTGATGAGTTTTTTGTTCCTTCTCTAACTGTCATCACTGAAAAACTGGGAATCTCTGATGATGTGGCAGGAGCCACCTTCATGGCTGCAGGGGGGTCAGCCCCAGAACTTTTCACGTCTCTTATAGGGGTCTTCATTGCACACAGCAATGTTGGCATTGGCACCATCGTAGGTTCTGCCGTGTTCAATATCCTCTTTGTTATTGGCATGTGTGCTCTGTTCTCTAGAGAAATCTTAAACCTGACCTGGTGGCCGCTCTTTCGGGATGTGTCCTTCTACATCGTTGATTTGATCATGTTGATCATATTTTTCCTGGATAACGTTATCATGTGGTGGGAAAGCTTACTCCTCTTAACAGCTTATTTTGCCTATGTGGTTTTCATGAAGTTCAACGTCCAAGTAGAGAGATGGGTGAAGCAAATGATAAATCGCAATAAAGTTGTCAAGGTGACAGTACCAGAAGCCCAAGCAAAGGTCGGTGGAAGTAGTCTTTACCTAACTGTTTTCTTAGCATAGTTCTGAATGCAGATGCTTTGGCAATCTGCAGCTTGTTTGTTTGTTTGTTTGTTTGTTTGTTTGTTAACTATGATGATCTTTGGGCTATAGCAAGTAATAGATTGCACTCTGCAGTTTTGTGAGAGCCAGTGAAAGTGACATTAGGAAATATAATTTAGGGTACACTCTTCTACATGTCTACCAAGTTTCCAAGCTACTATAGAGTTAAAAAAGACAATGTAAATATAGGTTACATAAGCATCCCATGGCAGACTCAGCATTGGCTTGTTTTTCTGGAAAGCAGACCCAGTGATTTTGAGAGCGGTTTCATTTTGATGGGCATGTTCTTAGCAAGTGACAGGGTTTTGTTTTTTAGGTGAGCATATGATAGTGATGAAGAACCATCTCTTTACAGATGGGAGAAAGTTTGTTTTATAAGCGCTGTATCCTTCAGCAGCAGCCTGGGCTTAGCAGCAGTTTGACTTCATGGTAATGGCTATAGTTATTTTTCCTTTTCTCTTTAAGTCAGTTTTATTTCATGGTGCTGGGAATTAAACCCAAGTACCTTCCACATTGCTAGGCAAGCATCCCGAGACTAAGTAACACCCCCAGACCTATGCCTATTTTTCTCGATCCATGTGATCTTATTTGAAACGAATCAGTAACCACTGTAGAGGAAATCACTGGCCAGCCCGCTTCTGTACTGCAGCAGCCCTTTTGCACATCGTAGTAAACGTGAGCCGGTGTGCTTTCACTGGAGAATTAGGGGTAGTGTTGCTTAATTAGGAAACAGGTTTGTAAAGAGTTTAAAATAAATTGACCTGAAAATGTAAATTTGAAAGAAAAACAATAGATGAACGGCATCAGTGAATTTTGGTGTACTTTCATAATTAATGCAGCATTCTGATTTATAGTCTAACTAGAAAAATGTGATCTGTGAATATGATTCTAAGTGGAAAACCCAAGTACCCACAGAAACTTCTCATGTTTGCAAGTGGGAAAATTCTCACACATATAAGAAGCAGATGTTTGAGTAGCAGTAGGAGATTTGATCACAAAAAGAAGAAAAATGGTATTATTTTAGTTAAATTTACATAATCCCTTTATAGTCTGGTTTGATGATCATCATTTATTTTAGTAGCCACAGAGTAGAAGCCAAGTGAAAAAATCACTAGTAATATTTATGTAAACAAGAGATAGAATATACACAAAAACGTGCAAAGGGGAAATGTTTTAATTATTTTTCTCATGCACATGTACATGATGTGCGTGTGGCAGGGAGTGGTGCATGTGCCACACCATATGTGTCAATCAGAGGACAACTTTGTCGAGTTCATTTCTTCTTTTATCTGTATGAGACTTCAGGGAATCAAACTCTGGTCACCAGGCTTTTGTAATTTTTGCCTTTACTTTTCTCTGGTCCACGGCATGTTTACTATACTATATATTTATTCAAACATTTATTTCAGTGTGTGCTCATTGAAGACTGTAGTCTCTCAAGCTGATTACCACAATATACAGCAAGCATGCATTCACGTGTGACAGCTGATGACATACCCTTCATGGCATCTGACAGGGATGTTCTTTGTGCTCTGTGTGCTACCTTAGTCACAAAAAGGATGACCCTCAGATCCTCCTCAGGCCTACTTGAATGATTTGCTTACTAGTCTGTGGTCTGTTTCAATCGGAGTACTGGAAAGTTCTCAGAAAAAGCCATAGTTTTGAGAAATAAGAAAGTGATCTGGCACTTCAGAAATACTCGAGGCACATCAATAGTGAAAAGTCTTTTGAGGAACTCTGTGCCTTGAGATCTTTGTCTTTTTCTTTTCCTACCATGGCCCTTCTTTACGTAGGCGTATACTTGGTTGTAAATTGTACTCCCCACATTTGCAAACATTGGAACTTATAGCGTTTGTATTCTGATTTTAGTAGGGATAGGAATGCAGCTGGTTTCATGCATGTGGGAAATAGCTTTAAATGCAGGCTACAGAGAGCACTTAGTCAACTCTAATGTCCCCACTAAAGAAGACCTGGCAGAGTTCTTACCTGCTTAATTGGAGGATTGTCATTTTCACTTTTCTGATCATTCATAAGTCAGCAATTCGGGTTGTTGTTCCATTTGTGTATCCATAATTTTATTCTTAGTTCTGTCTTAGTTTTAATTTGAAAATTCTGAGTATATGTAATTGTATCACAAGGCTAGAGGATCTAATCTTAAATATTTCCATGTGTGCTTATTCTCTCCTAGTTCTTTCACACTACACAGTTTTAATTTATTCCATTCAGTTAACATTTCTTTTAACATATGATAACTAATTGGAGAAGATGGGGTTTTTCCATAGCAGGGCTGTACTTGGCTTGAACACAATCATACATTTTCAAGAAGGGTGGTTCATAAGAACCTGAGTCCCTTCAGGAAACTATACCTTGTTGGTTTCTCTTTGGACTCACTGCTAGAACTTTGAAGTAATTGCAACCCTCCCTTATCGTATTCCTGATTCAAGCATCCTATAGAGCTTTCTCCCCAGCTCTGAGCACAGATGTCTCAGAAGGGTTGATTTGAATATAGCCACTTTTCTTCTGGTGTGATGAGCTCACTTTGATCAGAATAGCAGTTATCTTCTACAGGAATCAGTGCTTTGTTGTCGTCTGGACACTTAGAGAGTTCCTACACTGAATGTATCCAATGCACATCTCAGTAGGAACAACTACACTATATAGACATCTAGAGAGCAAATACTAGCTCATTTTTCTGTAAGCTTACTTTGTTGCTTTGCTTTTGTAATTATGGGACAGGAGAATTTGAGAAAGTAGAAAAAGCACATTTTAGATAACCTCACACAGATCATCAGATGGTCCTTGCTATAAAATCATCAACTCTTCTGGGCTCATCATAGTGAAACAGCTTTCAAATGACTTACTTCAATAAGGAAATTGGAAATCTTAATTTTGGTTCCCTAGTGACTGGTAGATTGTGTCTGTCAGGAAGCAATAGACTGTAAACATGGAGAAATTGGGAATTCTTTTTATAAAAGATTGCTTTTCCATGTATGTTTTTAAGGTTTTGTGTTTGTTTGTTTGTTTGTTTTAGATTTTCCTTTGGTGATACCACTACCCTCTTTTAAATGTTGCATGGTATCATGACATGATACAGAAGCCCTGACAGAAAAGAGGTTTTTTTTAATCAGTTCTTTGAGTTTTATATAATGTATTTCGATCATATTTATCCCCCAACTTTACTTAGTTCTGCACCCTCTTTATTACCTACCCAACTCTGTGTCCTTATTTTTAATTCTTAAAGTCCAATTTGTGCTGCCCAAATATTCTTGGGTGTGTAGTCTTCCACTGAATAGTAATCAACTTATCAAGGGCTACACTCTTAGTAAAAAATTTCCCCGTCTCTTCCCTCCCTGCAGCAGCTAACAGTTTCCAATAGCACCAAGGTTTCATGACCACCTCCCCTCTTCATAGTGGGATTTAGTCTGGCATGAGTTTGCACCGTTCTTTGTTACTATCACAACACCTGAGAGTTCATTTATGCAGCAGCTTTGCTGTGTTCAGAAGACATGTTTTCTTATAGATGCCTACTACATCAGGCTCTTGCAATTTTTCTTTTTCCTCTTCCACAATGATTCCTGAACCTTGGAAGAAAGGGATACAGTATATATGTTCCTTTAGGGCTGAGCATTCTTCAGTCTCTTATTCTTTGTACCTTGACCAGTTGTGGGTCTCTGTGTTAATAACTACTACAAATGAAGCTTTGAAGATGAGGATTGAGAGATGTATTGAACTATAGGTATAAGGATCTATAATGATCTATAGGTATAAGATAAGTCATTAGGAGTTGGTTTAAACCCTGTCCATTAAACAAAATAATAACAGTAAATTCTCCTCTGTGACTTGCATTTATCTAGAACAGGCTCTTGGCTGGGCAATAGTGTCAGGCATAGGATTCATCTTATGGAGGGAGAATCAAGTTCCATTTGTTAAATGTGGTTGGTTACTCCCTTGGTAGTCATGCCATTATTACACCAGTGCATATGTCCTGCCAGGCCAGTCATTATTGTAGCTTACAGGGTTCATACCTGAGTAAAACTGCTGATGAGTTTTCTTCTCTGGTAGCATGCCTAGTATCTTCCACCACTATGAACTAACTAGCTAGGGATAAAGCTTTCAAGTCAATATCAGTTAGATTTCTCCATGTCCTATGACTCCATGTGGACGGTGGCTTCAGAAGTAGGGTCTTATGTGGGCTTTGGAGGTAGCCAAGAACATGAGAAATAGCATGTAATGTTTTGGGGTCTATGAAACCACTCTGGACAACAACTCCAAAATAAAGAATTCATTCCTAGTGGTGGGCTTTTGACTTGGTAGCCCCATGGTGTCTAGTGGAGGCATTGTCGCGAGCTCTGGGTAACTCTATTTTATCTCTTAATGTATGTGTATTTATAATAGGATGCTTCTACTGAAGTATGTTTCTGATTTTTTTTTTTAAAAAAAATGTTTTAGTGCTGTGTATTCCTCTCTATATTCCATCCTCTACCCTGTGCTCTGTTCCCCCATTTCAATTTAACCCTTCCCGTTCCATTACTCCCTTTTAATCCTTTTTACCAGTGCATTCTATCTCCTTTCCCATGAAACTTGTCCCACAAGTACACTGACTAATTTCCTGACTTCCCTGGGTATCAGGAAAGAGGTTCAAAACCCATCCATGTAACAATCCTAGTGCTTCAGAGAAATTATTGAAACTCTCTGAGCCACAGCTTCTTAATTTTAAAAATGAAATTAATAGCATTAATTTTCCAAAGATTAATTAACATTTAAATAATCACTGAAAGGCTACGCATCTAACATAGTCTTTGACAATGTGGTGTGTTCAGTATATGTTGGTTCTCTTCTTTCATTGTTCCATTCTTAAATGAACAGTAAATCAGAATAAGTGATACCAGGTTTAATTTATAAGAACATTCCTTGAATGG